TCTATCCAGCACGCGTACACGTCAGCAGATGTCTGAACTCCTGCTACATTATATCAAGCATAATAAATAAAAAAAGCTTACTGTAAAAAATAAATAAATAATACAAAGAGAAAAATGTTTGATGTGTTATTCACATTATATGTCACGTTTCAAAACAACGGTGCTAATTTGTCCAAACAACAATTTACTTTATGAAAAAAATGGATGGATTGATGGATGGATGGACGGACGGACGGACGGACGGACTGATTGATTGATTGATTGATTGATTGATTGATTGATTGATTGTCCTTAGTTGGACACCAGAGAATTGAAGCCTTCAGGTGTTTCAAACGGTGCCACAAGACTGAAGCAAGAGCGGAGACGAGTTCAGCTCAGGACTGTGAAGTGGTGGTGGTGGTGATGGGGGAGGGGGGGAGGGTTAGGACACCTGACAGAATCGATACTGCTCTAATTCACACACAACCTGCTGTTTCTCTCCATAATAGTAATTTTATTAAGAGTTTACAAATGTAGGTAAATGTTGATGTATAACAACCCTTTAAAATACACCAAAATGCAAGAAATGGCATCTCTGTTATTCAACATTTTCTGTAAGAGGACCCACGGTTGATGGGAACTCTGGCGTGGTTCCAGTGCAGTGTGAATGCAAGCGGACCGGAGACCGCTCCAAAAGCAGGAAGTGGTCTACAGCACAGGACATACAAACGCACATTTCTCATACCTCATACGGAGCCGTCAGCCGCCGTGTGTGAAAAACAACATTCCTCATGGTCTTCTGCCTCATCTTCCTCTCATGCTGAGTCCATGGATGAAAAATGACTAAAGAGAAATCCTAAAACCGCTAAAATGTGATGCCACTCCATTTTTGTTTTTATTTCCAAAAGATAAAGAAGAAGAAAAAGAAGTGTCTTCTTCAGAGGTTTTTGTGTCATTTCCTTCATTAGTCGGTGCAGCGCCACCACAGGTGAGGGGGGGAACAGGTTGGTTCGACTGACTCAGTGCAGTGTGAATGCAAACCGCACCAGTCGAAAATGTAAACAAATGTTCTGAATACTGGTCCCCAATCGAACTGATTCTACCGGACTATCAAGTGTGCAAACACCCTTAGGGTAACAAGTTTTTTGTAGCCTTTGTTCTGTTCCTGACGGCCACATTCTAGAATAAAGTGTTTATTAGCATTACATTGTGGTCCAGAGTTTTTATATGATTCCGCCCAAGTTACTACAGTAACAAATGATAAGACTCTTACACCCCAGGAGTAAGGTGCTTTGTAAAAATTGCACTCTGTTTTACAAAACACACAGCCATCCAGTCAAACTCAGAGTTCAGCAAGACTGCTACAAAAATGTTGCCAGTTTCAGTCACACACTGCTCTTCATCAGTTACAGCTCAGTGAGATACTGTGTAGTCGTTTGATCCACCACACTGTGTTGTTCTCACAGTCAAGAAAGGAAAGATATGAAGTTTCTTAGATCTTTTTATTAATCAGTGGCTGTGTGGTCAATACTTTTGACATGATGCAGTAATAATGATAACTAAAGTAAATAGTGTCAGTTAAAAAGCACAGTCATTCATGAACCAGATACAATTCCCAACAGAAAACAGAAATTTAGGGTGCATTCACACCAGCCCTGTTTAGTCCGCTTTAATCGAACTCTAGCTCGTTTTCCTAGAAAGTCCAGCTCGTTTAGGGAGGTGTGAACGCGCCATCGAACTCTTTCACGGAACAAAAAGGCGAACTCTGGCCCGGGCTAAAACCTAGGTCTCGGTCCGGTAGAAGAGAACTCCATCGCGGTTCGAGTACAGTGTGAATGTAAACAGACCGGGCCCCGCTCCGTAGTGTAAACAAACACGCATTGCTCTGACCTTATATGGAGCCGTCAGCTGCCTTGTGTGAAAAACAATATTCTCCAGGGTCTTCTGTCTCATCTTCTGCTCATGCTAAGTCCATTTTTGATGACAAAATATAACTCCTAAAACTGCTAAAACTTGATGCCACTTCGTTTTTGTTTTTATTTACAGAAGAAGAAGACGTGTCTTCAGAGGTTTTTGTGTCGTTTCTTTCAGTAGTTCTTGGTGCAGCGCCCCCACAGGTAAGTGGGGGAACAGGTTGGTTCAACAGGTTGACTCGACTGCACAGTGCAGTGTGAATGCAAACGCACCAGCTCAAATGTAAACAAAAGGTCATGAATATTGGTCCCAAACCGAACCGAGTCTACCGGACTATCTGGTGTGAAAACGACCTAAATGTGCTTCAAATCATTTTTATCAGAGAATGTAAAAAAAAATATGTATAAATCTAACTTTTTTGTTATTGTTTTAAAGAAAGCGTGCATGATTATGTTTATTAGCATTTGTACTTTTATTAATTACTGTTTCTCACTGGAGTCCACAAAATGCTGTGTGTGTGTCATGAACCCTGTGGATTTATTTATCAAAAACTGACCTCATTTGCATATTTCTTTTTAGTAACATTTGAAAAGTTTGTGTGAAATTTAGATGACTGTACATTGGTATGTAAAAGAGGAGGCAAGACATGCTGGGGGTGGAAAAAAATCTGCGAATTGAGGTCTCGGTCATTCTTCCTTTCTTTCTTGCTCGGTTCCTTCATCTTCACATCTTCTCTCTGAATGACATTCCAGTTGGAGGTCTGTAGTTGGATCATAGCAATGCAGGGTCTCTGCTGGCTTCCAGGTTCACTGACAAGAAAGACAAGGAGCAGATGGTGGTCTTTGTCATTACCTCTTCTTTTCAGCCTCCTTGTAAGCCTCACCACTTTCCCTCTCTCGGTTTCTCTCCCTCTCTTTACCACAGCAGCGCAGCCGACATTTGAATAGGCCCTAACCATCGCTATGTCATATGTATGGACCTCCGCGACCAGATGGTGAGATTATTTGGAGCAATTAATTCTTTGAGAAAATCAGTGGGAACATGTTTGCCGCACAGATTTGGGGGCGCGTGGTTGAATGTGTTGAAAGACATTCCTCCTTAAACTTTTTCCAAGAGAAAAAAAGGTTTAGTGGGGGTTAGAGGCTGATGGGAGGTTCCAGGAAAGGCAGAGTGAAAGGAAGGGTTTTATTCTGTCAAGAAAAGCATGAAGAGTAGGAGGCTGGCTATGGGAACTTTTCCTAATGAAAAGGGGCCAAGGGTCTACACTGGAATTCCACATTCCTCAACCAAAAATAAACAGGAAAACATTTTTTCATATCAAAGTCTTTGGGTAATATACCAAAAGTTAAAACAATAATCTGCAGCAGATTCAGGGCCCAACTTCAGTTAAAAAAAAATTAAAGCTCGCATCAATGTGAATATTTGATACAATGTTCTAATTTCCATGGATTAAAACTTTTTACCAAATGTAATTTTACAATATCTGAAATCTTTTTTTATTATAATTAGGTGAAAATTGTATTTTGTTGGATTTGAACTTGACTGATTTAAATGATTTAGACTGCATGTGACTTTAAACTACTGATTGCTTTTTGTGTATCGTCACAGTACAGAAGAGACAGCCTTCTAATAGTTATACTGCGTGTAAAAGATTATTGATCTACTGATAGATGTTGAAAGATATTAAACGTTCTGAACCCTCATGTTACTACAGAACACATAAAGTGCAAAGCCAATCCACATTTACACCACTGACTGTATGACAAACCAGACATGGGAACCCAACTCGAAAGTTGAAGCTGTACAATATGAGCGCCCCCTGTAGGTGGACTGCAGAATGAAATTTAAGTCCATCTGAACAAATGGGGCATGTTCTTGACTAAAAACTAAAATTATACCTCTATTTTCTTAGGATTTTACTTTTGTTGTTTTATTTGAGTTTGTCCTTTGTGTTATCAAGTAAAGTAAATAATGTTTCTAATACTTTGTAATTAGTAATTAATTGCTTAAAAAGTAATTTGACACCATGATTTTGTGCAGTTGTATATGAGTGTCTTTCTGCCCCACATCCACTGTTTGCAGCCTTGCTCCTAAAAAACAATTTGACCACTCTCACAAATGAGCTATCATGTTTAACAAACTGCTGGTACAGTTGTTGTTATTTGTATATATATATATATATATATATATATATATATATATA